AAATACTCTGGACCCAATGGATTGCCTTCTTCCAATATCGTATCTTTTAAGATCAGCTGAGGAATCTTTGCATAGATTCCAGAAGATCTGACCTTCAAGTTCTTAGGATATGATGTATCAGTGATGGCTCTATTATGCATGATGAATCTCTGATGAGATATATTTCTTTACAACAAAATTCTAAGGCTTCTTTCCTAGCAAATATTATAATTGCAGCTTTGATGCTGACCTGCCAATACACCTTTCTACCTCAAAACAAATTTACATTTTTCTACTATTTCTGGTTCTGTAATCATGGGCATTTATGATTTTTTTAAAAAAAATACTTTTAATGTAGTTCTATGTTTGTTCTATTTTATTTGATAATTATTCATTACTATGGATATCTAAATTGGAAAAATAGTAACATGAATACAAAGTAGCACCAAATCCATAATAAGCAGACATTCAAGATGGTTTAGTCAAGGAAAATAGGTCATACTTGAGCAAATTTCAGCTGCAGCCTCCATTAAATAATGTAAGCCTTTTCTTTATCTTCCTCTTGCTAACCATTATTCTCATATTCATTGCTTTTATATTCTTCATTTTTCCTCTCTTCTCATAGATGCTTTGAGCACTTGCTTGAGTAGAACAAGGGGAAAGGAAATGAATAAAAAAGAATTTTCCCTATCATTTTAACCCTCATAATTCAGTTGTGTATCATTACAACTAAGGGCTTGATTGATGGAACCTATCTCTAATTGCTTTATGAGTGAACCATCTGATAAAGTTTATTTGAACGTTCCTTCACATCACTTTTTGAATAGAAATTGTTGGCTTATTTTTGGCTGGGTTACTCTTTTCTTTATGTACTCATTCTTTTCCTTCCTAATTTTCATTTGGGTCATCTCCTGACTTCTTCATTCTCCCTCCTCTTTTCTCCCAGCTTGTTCCTTTGACATGTGTTAATGAGTGGACCTGGAAGCTTTCAAAACTGAATCAAAGGAAAGGTGAGAAGGCCAAGAAAAGCCAACGAAAAAAACAACTGAGAAGGAAGGAAAACAAACAGCTGAGAATTATGGTTGCATCTAAATCACTGTCAACGAAAAAACAACTGAGAAGGAAGGAAAACAAACAGCTGAGAATTATGGTTGCATCTAAATCACTGTCAACGAAAAAACAACTGAGAAGGAAGGAAAACAAACAGCTGAGAATTATGGTTGCATCTAAATCACTGTGCAAGACAATGACTAGCCCTGAACTTGGGCACAATTTATTTATGCCACCCAAGAAGCTAAGTTGCATGAAGCTGATAGAATACGGAAAATTGTAAAGAGAAACTTCTCCCCTACCCGTCCAATCAGACTTGATGAAAAGCATGGATAAATTAACAGAGACAGCATTGTTCTTAAAAGGAAGAATCCTTGTTGAAAGCATGCGCTTGAGTGCAGCTTGTTGGAAATCAGAGATAGACTCTAGAAAAGGATAACCAATATTATATATCAGACAGACACATTTGTGCTGGCTGAAGCTGAAAGGAATGGTGAGTTATGCCCAGAAAATTCTCGGGAGAGGGGGGACTTCTCTCAGACAAAAGATAGCTTCCCCTATTACTGACCACACTGAAATACATTTTCAGAAGTGGTCAACAGTCACTGGGGTAACAATTGCAGGGTGGAGAAGTCAAGTCTTGAATGCCTTTTTGTGGCCCCTGGAACCTCCTTCCTTCAAAAATGAACAATTCAGTTTCAATTTTCTATTCTTTTGAGACATATAATTATAGTATAAGCCCTAAACATTACTTGACCACCGTGGCTTATATTCCTACCTGTCATAGCCCTTGAGAAAGAAGGTTCTTGGGGATTATTTGAAATGTGGGTCTTGTTCTGTTCCTTTTAAACCTTATTCCATCCTCTTTGTCAAAAACCCTACGTTTAGTGCCTATATCCATTTTCAAATCACAATTAGAAAAAAAAAGAAAACATAATCTGGAAGGGATTGTAAGTACCAGTGAACTATTGATGGCAAATCCACAGGTTAGACTGTAGGCCCGGATTCCAAATAATGAAATATAGGTGAATCAAGTAATTTGGGGTAATATCAATATATACTTTTAAGTAGCTGCTAGCTAAAAAAGATTTTAAAAGGTAGTGTCTGCACCATTGCACAAAACCTCATAATGGTATCTGCTGTCTGAAAAGGTTTTTAGTCGTTGCTTTAACTGGTTTATTTGATTATATAATTAAATATATATTCTCAAGTCATTAGCAGATGTTTAGAGCTACATCTTCTCATCATCTAACATTCTACCTTCCTTGAAACTTTGTAGTGCAAAAAATGTTCTGAGAGATAGCTGTCCTAGAAAGAAGACAATCTTTTTATTTCTAACGTAAGTATGTTGAGAATTGTTTGCTTAATAAAAATGCTTTCTAAAAAGAAGCTGATTCTAATAGCATGTTTTTTTTTTTAAATGAATGCTTTATGGCTTATCCTAAAGTAAGAAATATTAAAGCTATTTTATTAGTAGCTGAACAAAACGTGAAACTGCCTTGTAGTTATAGCTTACATGAAAAATAAGGGCCTATTGATATAGCCATGTTAGCTAGAACAAGATTATAGTTGAGACAAACAACATAGAAATCTGACATTTTCTGCAACATGATAGCATTCCTTGTGATATTGTACGGTCTGTGAGTAGAGGGGAAGTGTATAACCTTGTGAATAGGCTAGTGAACTAGCTATAATCACAAATCCAACAAATTTTTAAAATGAATTTCTGTGTCAAAGAGGAGCTTCTTTGACTTACACCTGACTTTTACACTAACTGAAATGTTTATTTTAAAATAATTGGAATTTCATGTAATTATTTTCTAAGAATGTCTAGCAAGAGCACATCTAAATTATGCCTGACATTAAGGTGGGACATCGTTTTCTAATGTAATTGCAACACTTTAAATCTATTGATTTTGTAATTTGAGGAAGACTTGTTATGGATGTTACAAAGCTTAGTCTTTAATTACATAGCCCTGAATTAGATGATAAATGTTGACTTTGACAAGCCAATGCTTAACATGATTATCTAAACCAGTTTGCAATTGATATTTAGTTAGCTGAATTTGGAATGTATAGGCATATATATAGTTTGCCATGCCTTGTACAAATCTTATTCTCAGTTCCAATGCAAAGTTTGGAACAACAAAGACTGTGTAGTATTGGAAATGGGTATCCATAATGATTGACATGTTTCCTGGAATAATGAACATATAAATATGCACTGTATTTATACTGTGCATGTAAATCAGAAAGAAGCAGAATTTTTGCTAGGGACCAACCATTATAGCTGACTTTTATAAAGATTTGCAAGACTCTGGATACCCCCTCATTATTTTTAAAATGGGTATAATAATCTTGTCCAAAGCAAGGAATATTATAGTATTGTTGTATGCCGTCTAGTACAACATGGTAAATATGATCTGTTTAGTGTGTCTTCAGGTTTGAAAATTTAACTCGCTTATTGCTGCAAAATTAACTTGCTTATTGCTGCAAAATCCTTAACTGGGGATGTGAGAAATTGATTCTAGAACCTGCGTATATAAAATACAAAGTCGATCACATAACTGCGGCTACTATATAATAAGTGATGCTTTTAAGCACTTAAGAATGGAAATTTATGGGTTAGAGAGAGAGGAACTCTGATTACAAGTCTGAGCTGGCATCATGGAAGCCTTTTTATGACATGGCTTACATGGCTTATAATGCATTATGGATGCTGCAGGCTGAAAGTCCTTCTATATATTTATCTTGACTTTACTTTTCGCTGGACAGAATCCAAGGTTAGCTTAGGGCAAGGTCACAGCCCTTATGAATCAGAATATGAGCACCATCAACGGTTGGTGCACTCTTGGTTATTAATGCATTCTCTCTGGTTTTGTCTTTGAGGAATGGGCTGTGCTACCAAATTCTTGGAGCGAAAACAGGCTTCCTGGATGGAGCGGAGGGTGGAACCAAGCAATATCTTGGCAGGTGATGGGACAGGTGAGAACCTGTCAGATCATGGCTGATATTTTGTAGATTCTAACACTAGTTACTTTTTAAGACAAACTTTATTGGCTGGATAGGCAGAGAACCAAATGTTCTCTTGAGGTAGAATTGTGGGAAAGAGACTGAAAAATGTGCTTTTTCTGATCTCTGGTTAAAATCTCAATGCTCTAAGGTTTCAACTCTTGGATTAAATGCCACACTTACATAAACTTAGCCCTATAAAATCTGAATGGGACATATCTGAGTATATAAAATATGGGCTGAGCTAATAAGCCCAGTGAATAAATTCACAGGGACACTTCATATCCTAATGTGAAGTCAATTTTATCAGTGATACTACTGCTATACACAGATGCACGCATACATATTTTATTAGGCAGTGGTTCCCATGTTGTTTGGTTGGAACAGCAGTAGCTCACAAGATGGAAACTTCTGAAGAGTATTTAAAATTATCAAATGTAGTACTTAAAAAAAAAAAGACAATTATGAACTGTTGACCCAGAATCTGAATATTTATTAGAGGCTGGGTCATAGACTTCTGCTGCACCTTTTATCAATGAGAGGAACAATTCTGGAAACAAAACCAGAAGTTTTCCAAACTGATCTAGAAAGTAGACAGAGAAAATGGATTAAGAGGTCCTCCTCCAAGGTCTTTTTTTTTTCTCAGTCCCCGCTCCCCCTCAAGTATACTTGGTTTTAGAAATCATGTTGGATGCACAAACTAAGTTCCCAAGCTTTGTTTAGTTCCTGCCTGTCTTGTCTTATTCAATTTTATTTTAACAGGGGGGAAAAGATGGAAAGGTTTTGTTCTACAAGGAGACCTCAAGGATTTGACAGACAAAAACAGACAAAAGACATTCAGTTAGAAGAAAAAGTATCTGTCTTTACAATAGAATAAAATGCAGTCAGTGACAAACAGTCAAAGGTTCAGAGGTTTTACTTGGAAACAAAATTCAAAATTTATTTTGGGTTTACTAGATGCCATCAGGTTCTCTTAAGAAATGAGAAAGGCTCCGTTGGATAGTTCTAACTTCTGACAAACACACTGCCAAAATTTGATGCCGTGAAGCTCCAAAAGCTGTGATAAAGGGCCCCAAAGTTGCATGTATCCTGGGTTCACACGTTGCTTCCTCTTGTAATAGAGCATGCCTTCAAATAAGGAATTGCCCTATGTAAAGAAGAGCAGAAATACTCCATAAAAACCACTAAGCATCATGCCTAGTTACAACAGATTATTGTTTAATCTTGTACTGCACTTGAAATCATTCAATGACTCCTCAGAGGAAGGGGCTTGGAGGAGGACATAACAGAAGTAGTGGATAGGAATGGGCAGTCACAATCACAACTGTAAACTTCTCTTGCATAACTAGCTGGCTTATTTTTGGCATATCTCTTTGTTTGGATGTGTTTGCCAAAAAATTAACTAGCATATCAGGGCATCCTTTCTTCTCCTAAATCAGAAGAGTTTAGAGGACCCCATGTTGTTACCAATAGTACATATTCATTCTTACGAGTATTCCAGGGACAATGTTGTGGGCCATCTATTGACCTTAGTGTAACATCTTCCCTTCCCCTGTGGCTTCCTTTATTGTTAAGATAGTGGAAATGTGTGGAAAAGATGGGACAGGTTGCCTACAGGACTATCTCCTTTTATGTGTATAATCTTCATATGAACTTCTTCTCTAGATGGTGCCTGCCCAATAAGGTAAGGTAGGTTGTTACGAGCTTTCATCCTTAGTGGTACCCTGACTGAAGTCCACTTGCAATGCAGTTAATATGTATAGCTCAAGCTGGCATGTTGTATTGTGAAGTTCTAGGAGCTTGGCTTTGGGGTAATGTAAACCGTACAGGGGTTTGGGAGATGTGCAGTTCATTGATGCAGGAGTAATATATTGTTTTTGCTTCCCTGCTCTGCACATCCTTGGTTGGGCTGATCTTCCAGGCAGATTTGACTGATAAGATGGTGGTTCGGTCTTATCTATGATTGGTTGCTTCCTGTATGATCCATGGTGTTGATAACTGGGTGATGGAATGGCTCACGGGGGGAGGGGGGCAGGGTTCTTTCCCTGTTTATGTTGTTGGATGGGTTGATGTGGACCTTTTGATAAAATGGCACGTTGTCTGTTGCATCTGAATCTGTTCCAAGTCATGCGGGGCTTTTATTTAAGTTCTTCAGATGTTATCACCTTATGTGCAAAAGGACTCAGCTCCTTTTGTGTGCTGTTAGGTTGTTACTGCTATGGATTGGGGGGACTATTTTCCATTGGACTTAGGTTTCTAGTGGGCTGTTACTCGTTCTGATAATGATGGTCTCTAGAAAGAGTTGTCTCTTATTTTAGTCTTCTTCCATGAAAGTAAGGTTCCATCAAACATGTGGCTGATTAAGTCATATGTTTTCTGCTGGTTGGTTTATGACAAAGGTATCACCTGTATACCCTATCTATATTCTGGGCTGAATTAGTGGGAGGACTGTGCTGGGAAAATTATGATGGGGAATTTTCAGCTTTGTTTGCACCCTTTGGTTATTCCACCTTTAACTCTAACAGAAGCAGAATAACAATGGAAAGTAGGACACCAGGTGATCCCTCCCCTATTGTGCACCATGCAAAAAACAATTCAGTAGACGGGGATGATAGATCCAACAGACTATAATTTCTAGTCATCGCATTACTGCTTTTGTGACGAGTCCTGAAATAGGGTATTCCACTGGGATCCCTTAGATTGGTTCATAGATTGGGCCATCACACAGAAAGGACATGGTAAGGCCTAGATCCACAAGTTCCATAGGTTTTGGCTATTTCAGTTTTTGTGTGTTCAGGTATTCAGTGTCCCATCATAGCACTATACAGTGGTACCTCTACTTACAAACGCCCCTACTTACGAAATTTTCAAGATACGATCAGCTCCGGCCCAAAAATTTACCTCTACTTACAAACTCGCCTCGACTTATGAGCCATTTTCCGCCCATGCCACGTGGTCCGTGGCCATTTCCCGCCCGTTCCACGTGGTCTGCGGCCATTTTCCGCCCGTTCCACGTGGCCCGTGGCCATTTTTCCGCCCGTTCCACGTGGTCTGCGGCCATTTTCCGCCCGTTCCACGTGGCCCGTGGCCATTTTTCCGCCCGTTCCACGTGGTCCGCGGCCGTTTTTCTGCCCGACACATGGTCTGCGGCCATTTTTTCCGCCCTGCCACGTGGTCAGCGGCTGTTTTTTCGCCCCTGACGTGTGGTCCGCGGACGCCGGAACGGATTAACGGTAATTACATTGAACCATATGGGAAAATTTACTTTGACTTGCGTCCCCCTCGACTTGCGATCAGAGTCACGGAACGGATTAAGTTCGTAAGTAGAGGTACCACTGTAATTATTTCTTCGTTTTGGATCATGTAAAGACAGCAACGCCACTGAAGGATATCATGATTTTGTCCTCCTCTGTTGTTAAATATTTTATTTTTTCATGGCATTGTAGTGGTGAACTGCTGGATTGACCCTCACTTCCCAGAGAAGCTCAGCTGGGGCCTGCATTATAGTTCTTTTCATATCACATGGATGATTTCTTCCTTATCCTTGCAGCGTTTTCAGAAATCACTGCAAAGTTTTCTTATACACCATTTTATCGTTGTGCTTCTTTATATTGTGTTTGTTTCTACAATCATGCCTATATTGTGCTGTCTTCTATGTTGCTTTTACAATTTTATGTATCATCTATGTTTACAAAGTTTATTAAAGGCAACGAGGAACACGTAGACAATTCCATCCCGCATAGTATACAATATTCCATCTGCTTTTAAAACTGATGTGTACATTTCTCAGATATGTGCAAATCTTCTTTAGCTTGTCTTCTTTAGGTCTGCTGAACCCCTTTCCCCTCCACCTGATGATGTGGGGGGGAGAAGAATATCTGATTGGGGGGGCTATTGTAGCTGGCACAGATGCTTTTCTCTGTGAGCCATTTTAAGTCAAACAAATATGCGTCTCCTAGCACCTTATCAGTATGGGCTCAGAACATTGTGGAACACACTGTAATGTTTCAATTCACATGGGGCTTTTATTTAAGTTCTTCAGATTTTATCAACATATGTGCAAGCAAATGAATGTAAGCCAAGACAGATATATATGAGAATATAAACTAAGCTAGTAGTAATGAACATAGTTAAAAAATATTGCCTGAAGAGTTATGAACAATAATTAGCATTGTTCTCATTTCCAATCCTCAGTTGGTCTCCTGTATAGGAGAGGAAGCTGAATCTTCTCTTCTAGATCTTAAAAATTATGTGCAACGTTGTTTTGGTCACGAGGCATCCTTACCAAGTGTATCAAGTAAAGGATTTATGCCAAATATTTTCAATTAGCAATGGCAGAGTCATTTTTACCCATCACTTTCTATAAAGACATAGATACATATCCACCATGCTATTCTTTTTCAGGGGAAAGCAGTGTTATGTAGAACACAGAGGAGTAAGAAATAGCAAACCAAGGATGAGATAAGAAAACTTAGCTAAGCATGTAGAAGAAAGATGGGACATAAATCTTACAAACAAGCGCACCTACTTTGAACCAACACCACTTCCTACTATTTCTCTACACCATTATATCTTTGTAAACCATCCTTGCTTCCATGAGATTATACATGACTTCATACACACTGTTCTTTAAACTAGCTTCTCTCGTTTTAGGATCTGATCAGCACCATTCAACCACAACCTTCTCAATTTCCCCCTTTCTTACAACCCCTTTACTTGTCCTTCATATATTTATTTTGTAATTTGACCCTGACTCATCCTCTCTACATGACCAGATCCCTTCACCTTACTTCCTTCATACTGGCCCTTAGTTTTGTATTCAGTCCATATTCATTCAGCACCCATTCATTCTTGATTTGATCTCTTCTTCTTAAGTATCCCATTTGCACTGAGTTCAACTTCTTTTTATATCTCTCCTGATACACTCAACCCCTACTTCCATTTAGCAATCCTGTTACATTATTTCCACTTTTTTAGACAAATAATAATTCCTCTCAACAGACCACGTATTTCTCATCACCTTTCTCCCAGCATTTGCAATATTAACATTTCTCCATCCTTTTTCTCATATGTAGGAAAAAGGATGGAGGAAATGAAATGCACAAATTCATCTACCTGCTCTAGTTTTTTGCTATTTCTACATAACTTGCAAGCATTCATTCCAATTTCAAGACTGGTCTGTGAGCCATCATCACATCTGCACTAGTTGTTCCAGAATTGTTTTGGAGTTGGGCAGCCTCTAAATTTAATGAAAGAAATTTAAAAAACTGTATAATCTGACTAACATTTGCTGGAAACCATTTGCATACAGAAGTACATGTACATTCAAGCTAGGAACCAACACCCTTCTAACAGCGTTACAAGCATTCCTTATGCATTTATCTATAATACAGTAAACTATCAAGGTAATATCCTTGCTAAGTGCCCAGTCATTTGTCAAAACTTCCATGTAAGTTGTACTTCCATCACATTACCACTTTTATTACATTCAGCAACCAACTTTCATCTTCATCTTCTTGCAAAAGATTCTGCAATTCAAATCTATTCCCTATTCCCATCAGCAAACCTTCATACGCTTCTCCGTTATTTCTTCCCCATTCTGTGCTGTCAGGGGTAGTGTGATCTCTGGGTGGTTTAGGAGTAAAGGTATTCATAAAGAAGCCAAACAAATAATAAAAGGCTATTTGTCACTGCAAGAAAACTCGCTGAAAAGAAAAAGGGACTATTTCAAAACATCACTAAGGGCAGATGGATGTTACAATGTCAGACTTAGGTGGAAAAAAGGTTCCAGCGAGGCACAGAGAGGCTCCTTGATGAATTCCACCCATCAGGGAGACTGGAGCTTTGCCTCCTTGTAAGTGGCAAAGCCTGTTCAGTTTCCAGGATTCTGTATCCTAACCCCTTGTTTCTTGCTACTGAACTTGGCTAACGAAACTTGGTATGAATCTTGCTTCCTGGGTTGTGCTCTGCGCATTGTTCAACAAGAGCATCACCCCAGGAAGGAGTTCTGCTGACACGAAAGACTTTTCTGGCTCGCAGGGATGCGACAAGCGCAGCTTTCTCCCCTCCTTGCCCATCCATATTGTATCATGATTTGCCAGTTGCAAGGAGGCCAAACTGCAAGACCTCCTAACAGGGAAAGCCATAGGCAAGGAAGGGAAGAATCATTCTCCTTTCCCAGGGAAAACTGCCTACCGGCACCCCACTCCTGTCCAAGGAGAGGGACAGAGTTGGTGGCCAGGAGCTGGCCAGGTCAGCAGGCCTGGCATCCTCGGTTTGGAGGGTCTCTCCTGTTGCCTGTGAGAGAAGACAAACACGCGGGTGAGCACGACCCTTCCGACGCAATATTCCAGCAACGCTGTCGGCCTGAGCGCCTTGCAGGGGCTGGACACCCCGGTCCCCCGGAAACTGTACTGGGAAACGGGGACGCTCGACCGCCCCTCCGTCCGGGCGTCCCGTTTCCCAAGGTGTCCATTCCCGGGCATCGTGTGAACCGGCCGCCCGGCCAAGTCACGTGCAGGACCGGCGAGGACCGGGGGAAGGGGAGTCGCTCCCTTCGCCCCGAGGATTCCTCAGCCCAGGGGCCCGCGCCGAAGGGGAGGAAGAGGAGGGAGGGCTTTTGCGCGGTGGAGCGCGGCTGCTTGGAGAGGGGGCGCAGTCGGGGAGGCTGGCCAGCTCCGTCCGGCGCGGGTCGCCTTCCAAGTCCCCGGAGGGAGACGGTGACGCGGGAGCGGTGGGGAGGCGGGAGGCGGCTTGACGCCAACTTTGGGAGTTTCCATGGATTCCCTTGTATGGCGAAGCGTGTCCCCGCAGGAGGCGGCGGCGGCGGC